ACAAGCCCAGCCCAAAGCCTTATGAAAAGCCTGGTGTCGTGCTCTATTCTGATTAGGACTCTAAGACAGTCAAACAAGGAGCCATGGCAGGAACCAACAGAAATCCATGCGTAAAGGACGAGTACCCATCGAACAAAGAACTCCCTCCATCTCTCCTTTCCTCTGCAAGCTCCATCTTGAAAACCCATAAGAAAAACAGGTGGCGCCTCCCCCCTTATGGGAAGGTCCAGCTGTGTCAAACTCTTGGAACCACAAAGGGTTCCTTACCCATGCTCCTTGGATGGGAGAAATTCACCAAAGAAGATAAAGTGGAAATGAGCAATAAAAAATGGGAAGAAAAGTTAAGACGAAATTAGGGTTCTTTGTGGCTATAAAAGAGAGCCTCAGCTACCCAGAAAACCAACCCATCCAAGGCCTGACCACGCTTTGTCAAGCAAACTGGAAATTTTACTCAAGCCACCCAATTCTCTTCTTCGTTCGTTCTCTTCCCCCTTTAGGAAAGAAATCTGTCTAATCTTCCTCTGTTCCACTTTAACCCTTTGTTCACCGTAAGAAACTCACACTTATCTCTCTCTGTTCATGCTAAACTCATGATGGTTTTGCTCCCATGCCACAAGTTCCTCATGCTAAGCCATTAATCAATCTATTATGTTTATTTGGCTATTGGTGAAAAGAACCTGAGGGTATTTTTCTAAGGTTTCATCAAACCTTTCAAAAACTCTTTCAGAAGCTTGGTTTCTGAACTCAGATACTTGGGGAATTTCTGTTCGTTTTCTTCTTACGGCAACCCAAGCCCATTCGTCAGGCTGCTTGAACAAAAAGACCCCCACATAAATTGGCGACTTTGCTGGGGACTTGGATGCTATTTTCACTAATGCCTTCAAGAAAGAAGAGCATAAGTAATTCCATGGCTTCCCAAGAAGAGCTGGACTACGGTGACTCAGGATCAAGGCAAAATGCCTCTCCTAGAGAGAAAGAACATGCAAGTGAGAGAGCTTTCACCCTCACAAACCTCGTTGCAGCCATCCATGCTATAGGGAAACCCAAAGGGAAATGATGGACACCATCAAAGAACTGAAAAGTTCTGTCTCTAAGCCAAGCGAAGAAAATAACAGACACCCACAAGGGGAGTCTGTTGCTGCCCGAAAGGGTTCTGAACAAAAGGAGCCATCTTTTGTCACTCACAAAGATGTCATTGTCATGCTGGAGAAGAAACTAAGCCGAAGCCAGGAGGATTGGAAGTATGTTCCTCAGCCACCATATCCATCAAGCCTACTCCAGCAGCCATACCTCAATGACTATAAAACACCAAGTTTTTTCCTTTTCGACGGAAGGAATGGAAGCCCGAAGGAGCATGTCAACCGCTTCATTGATGCTTTGGGACCACACGCTGGTGATCATAATCTCTGTCTCCGGGAGTTTTCAAAAAGCCTTACCGATCGTGCTTATACGTGGTACACAACATTAGCACCAGGCTCTATTTGCTCTTGGGAGGATTTCGCAAGCAGGTTCTATAAGAAATACTTGCAGCATTTGGAAAGAGTTACTACCACTCAACTCAACAACACCCGCTAAAAAAAAGTGAGGATCCCGTGGACTTCGTGCGCAGGTTCCGGGACCCGGCTCTAAACTGCTATGATGAGAAAGATGAGGAAGCGCTTGTTGAAATTTGTATCAGCAACATCGTGGTAGATTATAGAGTTTATTTGGAGAATATTGGCATCAGCCAATTTTCTCGGCTGCATGAAGTAGTGAGAAAAACAAGCACGTCGGTCAAGCTAACTGTGCAAGAAGTTTGGAAGAGCGAAGAGAAAGAGCGCCACTTGGGGGCTTCATTTGGTCAGCAAGATTATCGAGAGATAGCTGCCGTAACCTCTCATAAAAGCCGCAAATCAATCTCTGATTAATTGGGTTATGAGCATCATGCAAGTAAAGCAGCAACTGTGGCTCTGTTAAAAATCTCTACAGAGCATGGCAACCTAGTACAACACATGCCAAATACATGCCAATCCAAGCCTCAAGCTTTCATGCCATTGTAAGTCATGCACACTCCTTGGTTTCATCAAACCTTTCAAAAACTCTTTCAGAAGCTTGGTTTCTGAACTCAGATACTTGGGGAATTTCTGTTCATTTTCTTCTTACGGCAGCCCAAGCCCATTCATCAGGCTGCTGGAACAAAAAGACCCCCGCAACGATATTTATGCACCAACTTAAGGGGAAGTGTTGGCGTAACTTGTGGACCCACAGTTACTTTTCTTACACGCCAAGGATTCCTATATTAAGTGTAATTGATTTACTTTAATTCCCGATTTCCTACTGTAAATAGAATTAGGAGTTGTTACTTTCCTTGAACTATAAAGGTTTATTGTATTATAAATACAACCTCCTACGAGGAGAAGAATACATAGAAAATTCCCACAGACAATATTCTCTTATACATCTCATATTTTAGCACTTTTGCCATCCACTCATTTATTTTAATGTCTTCATAATGCTAGTGCGCTGCGGGTAATGAATTAGACCATCAAAGAAATTTGATTAGTCATTTTAAGCTTAGATTGCATGATGGTGATAGTTTTGATGCTCACACTAAACACTGTCAATAGATTCCAATTATTCAAATATCATAAAAGACATTACAACCACTAAGTAGTACTTGAGGAGAAAAGAGAAGAGAAAGAGAAAATGGGTTTTACTGGAGGAAAAAGTCAGCCAATTATTTTTATTTTTCTTTTTGTCAAAGAGAGAAATGGGATGGGCAGAGCTCAACAGTCACAAACGTGAGCAAACTGACATGATAAATAATACTAGACAAGAAAAGAAGCCAAGCGTTTGATCATTTTCTTAACGTTCTCCGTCTCAGTCTCACTAAAGATATGAAAGCAATGGTCCTCTCCTTCCACTTCAAACAGCTCCACTTCTCCTTTCCACCCACTTTCCCTCACCAAATCACAATACCAAACACCTCGATCCCTCAGCTGATCCTTGCCTGCAACACACACAAGCAGCTTAGAGCACCCGAGTCCAGCCAGGCTCGGGGCACCCTCACCCGCTGGATTCACCATTGGATTATCAATCCCTCCAGGAGCTGATGGATAAACAAAGTCCCAAAGTTTATACTCCGTAGTCTTCTCAAAGTCTTCACCTTTAGGCTCTGACCCAATTGGCTTGGAACCCCAAAAGTAAGAGTGGGACAGAAATGCACCCAAAATTTTCACAGCACCAGACAAGCTCTCAGCCCCTACCTTCATAGCCAAGTTATGTGCAATATTGCCACCTGCACTATCACCACCAATGTACAATCTATCAAAATCTCCATAGTTGAGTAACCATGGTTCTTTGTTATCATCTAATTCTTCGTTGTTTGCGTGAGAAGTGACCCATTGAAGCGCAACCCAGCAATCTTCATAAGCAATAGGAAGTGGGTTCTCTGGGGCAAGTCTGTACTCAACAGAGACAGCTATAACTTGGGCTTCTGAGACCAAGCGGTTGAGATAACGGTGGTCAAGGAACGAGAAGGCAGATTCAATGCAAAATGCTCCACCATGGAAGTAAACCAAGATGGGTAGCTTTTGGGTTTGGTTTTGAGGGACATTTGGGAGGTAAAGTCGAGCAGAGATGTTGGGGTTGTGTGAAAAAGTGAAGTCTTTAGAGGAGACTCTGGTTTGTGGGTCATGAGGAGAAGGGGGCACATAGGGAGAGCCCATAAGGCGTTCCACTGTGCCATCTTTGTAGATTCTGATGCGAGGAAGGAATTCGGAAGCTATTTCTTTCGCGGTGGTGGTGGCGATGGTGGTTGAAGTCATTGGAGGGCAGAGATATAAGATAAGTGTTAGTTCTAGAGAGAAGAGAGGCTTAGGATAATAGCTTAATGAAGAATAGAAAACTTTTTAAAGAGTAATAAGATAATTTTATTTTATTGATTGAAATAAGAAGGCTACAAGGGCTTAGAGTTGGTTGGATACAAGAGGTGGCTGATGTGAGTTTATAATTTTCTAAAGTGTTTTCCAGCCACTAGTTATAATATAAGTCTAGAATTTCTAGTTACAATACATTAATAGGATGTTTCAGTGTAGAGTTCAAATTTAACTTGTCATCTTTTCTCAATTCTTCTACATTTTTCTATATTATTCAAGTATATGTGCATTATTTTTTAACAATAAGTAATGAATTGATGGGGTGAAGCTTGAGGGTTGAGATGTGACCTTTAAATGGAGGGAGGGTTTGCCATTAATTCATTATAATAATAAAAAACAAATAAAGTGAGGTGCCGTGTTTTACACTGCAACAAAAGTAGCCGCCTATGTCTTCCATTGGTCAAAAAATGTTAGCCCTCTGGCCTCTCAAAACGTTTTGCTTTTGTATCTTTCTGTCGAAAAAAAGAAGCCCGTATGTTGAAACTAATAAATTGGGCATTGACAAGAGAAAAATATTGCCAGCGAAGAACTATCAAGGTAACTACGAATGAACAAAATGCCACATGAGCACGAAACTACAACATCAACTAGATGTTCATTAATGCTAGTTTCATAAGGTGCATGTGTGGAGAAACACAAATACGTATTAAAGAGGAGTGTTGAAAAAATAATGATCATTTGTGTTCACAATTCTAGAGAAGTCAAGAATTCAAAAGATAAAGGCGGTGGAACAAAAGCAATTGAAGTTTGAAGAACATTCTAGTACAAGACACAAATGTGGCTAAAAGCATACACATATGTTCTCTATTTCTTAGCTAAAATGTGGCTAAAAATATAAGAAAGCTATTTTAGGAGCTCTCTAAAAAATTTCAACTCCAACTATACTCCCTAATTTGGAGAGTCATAAATGCTATCACTCTTTTTTGATTGGTCCATTTCTATTAAAAAATAAAATAAAAAAAGTTAATGACAGGACCCGACCCAAATTCCACTTTGGAATCCGAGCCGAACCCTGTTTGTGATCGACACCTGGTAGTTGCCGAACACAATTGACTTGGTTGCCCTTTTTGATTAAAAACTTAATTCCCTTAAATCCTGACTTCTACCGAAAATTCGGCAGAGTCTCCCCTGTAAATTGAACGTTCCCAAAATTTACACCTGTCAACAAGTACTTAAATATATACACCAACTGCCAGTAAACAAAAATAAGTAAGTTTCAACAGTTAAAGACGTTCCAGGGCAATCTCAGAGCATCTATACAGGTTTAATTACAAAGGAGGTGACCGTTGTGAACCAAGGAACCCTACATCAAAAATGGGGAAGAACGGGAAGCGGGGAATGCCCTGTGGTGGCTCTTGGATGCACGTCTACAGCCTGGGGGCGCAAAACATTAAAAAGGTGAGTGGACCCCAAAAACAAAGTTTAGAAAAATAAGTAAGAACATACTAACCCCACAGTAAAAATACAATTATACAAAACTAACTCATTTTCTTTATCATACACATGCTGAAATCAATGTATTCATGCATTATATACCAAACACATTCATGGTTAACATTAATCTTGTAAAGCATTAAAATTCGTTTAAAACTACCACTTAGGTGTACCCTTCTATTTCCGTCAATTCCTGGTTTGCCATCAATTCCTGATATCC